GCAAACATGCATGCTTACATGCATCTATACATGCATGCAAACGTGCACACAGTCATGGGTAAAGACATGCAGTTTCCAATTCACATATACATACATGCATGCGTGCATGCATACAACCATGCATGCAAGCATGCATCCGTCCATACACGCATGCATACATACACACATGCACACACATACATACTTCCGTACGTGCAGACATACACACATACATACATACATAGACACGCACATACATACAATCACTCATACACGCTTACACGAATATCCATACGTGTATACCGATATGTCTACATACGTACATGCACAAACATACATACGTACATACACCCGCAGCCATTCATACATATGCACGCACATACATGCATGCATGCATACATGCATACATACATACATACATACACACATACTTATGTAAACCCTTTTATATATACACATACCTACATACGTACATGCATACATACATGCATGCATACATGCATACACACATCGACACATACGCGCAACACTCACGCACGCACGCACGCACGCACGCACACACACAGACACACAAACACAGACACACAAACACAGACACTTAGACACACAGACACACACACACACACTAAATGTTTGGCATCGCGGCCACGCGCGCGCTGGCGTGGCGTAGGCAGTCGAGCCGGAGAATGCGCTTGGCCTGGCCAGATCACGCGGCGTGGGGACCAGAGATTCTCCCATAGGGGATCAACCTGGTCACTCGCGGCGTCAGCCGCGAGGGGAGGGATAGAGGGGAAGGAATGGCACACACACACACATGTACACACAAACACTTTGAAGTCGGCGCCGCAGAGAATGCTCAGGCGCGAACAGCAGATGGAAGTGCCAATTGCGATCGAGCACTATCGAAGGCACAAAGCACCACCCGTGCACAGTGTGAAATGCAGCGATGGGTGGCGCGAAAAAACAAACTGCAAAAATGCAGGCGAACCGTGCAGCGGACTGAAAACCGAGGAGGCAACTCAACTCAAGGTAGACTGAAGCGCGAGCAATCTGGTGTGGTACACACACACACACCTGCACACCCAGACCCCCGGCCTCGTGTTTTTTTCGCAACGTCGACCCCCAAAGGTCTGGACCCCTTCCCCAGGACCTGTTTTTCATCCTGAGCCGTTTTGTGACGGTCCTGGGGCCCGGCAAGGGCTCCGTTGGGCCGAAAATTGCGAAACACCTCCCGGCCCGAGTCTTTCGCGACGCGACGGGGTCTGGGCACGATCCTGGGCCAGCAGGGGCGCAGCGGATGCCCTCCGGCCCAGGCTACACGAAAGGGCGACCTCTGCACAGCGACGCCCGCCACGCCTCCTCCTCGAGCTCCTCCTTCCCACCTCCTCCTCCTCCTCCTCCTCCTCCTTCTTCCCACCTCCTTCCCTCCTCCTCCTCCTCCTCCTCCACCTCCTCCTCCTCCTCCTCCTCCTCCTCCTCCTCCTCCTCCTCCTCCTCCTCCTCCTCCTCCCCGGGAGGACGCACAGAAGCCGCGTCCCCTAAGATGCGCGGCTCTCGGGGACCGCACCGCCGCGCGCGCAGGCCGGTGCTGGGGCGGGGGCCCCGTGAGCCCGCACCAGAGGCCACTGCGATGGGGGCCGCCATTCCCTGAGATCCGGTGTTGCTCACAAATTGCAGCGGAGGAGGATGAGAAGGAGGAGGAGGAGGAGGAGGAGGAGGAGGAGGAGGTGACGGAGGAGGAGGAGGAGGAGGAGGAGGAGGAGGAGGAGGAGGAGGTGACGGAGGAGGAGGAGGAGGCGAGGCGGAGGAGGAGGAGGAGGAGGAGGAGGTGACGGAGGAGGAGGAGGAGGCGGAGGAGGAGGAGGGCTGGTAGATGGGATGACGAGGCGAGGAGGACGCGGAAGCAGCTAGGATTAGTCGTGACATTCTGAGCAGTGATCTGATGTCTTATACGGGCTGCATCCCCAGCCACCGCCTGCTCCCCAACCCCTTCCGTCGCCGCATCGATCTCAGAGGGCCCCTGGGCCCGAAGCAGAACGAAAACGCCCGCTGCAAAAATGGCAACGCCGGGATCTCGGTCAGGGTGACCCTTCGGCTACACGCAAGAGTGACCCTGGGTAAGAGTGACCCTTGGTGCGCGGCTTTTTGGGGGCCGCGAGGGGACCAAACCTGGGCGCGCAAGCCTCTGCTCATGCTTCGTTTTCAGGCATCTGGGGACCCATCTGTGCCCGCACCAAAGGTCACTCCATCGAAAGGTCACTCTTACGTCTAGTCGACCCCTCTCCTCCGACGTTGAAACTCCGTTGTTCCCGAATCAGTGCTTGCACTGAAGGGGTCCTCGCGGAGATTGAAAGATTCGGCGAACATTTCCCGCCGATTTTGGTAGCTGGCTGGGTTCCTGGGTTCCGGGTTCCCGGTTCCCGGGTTCCTGGTTATTGGTTCTAGGCCGATTTCGGTGGGTTCCGGGTTCCCAGGTTCCCGGGTTCCCGGTCGATCTCCTTATCGATCTCTTTATCGATCCCATTTCAAACCATCCACTGATTGAACATTTCCTCTGGTGTAAAAACGTCCGCCCCCCAGGGCTTCGACCGCTTTCCTGGCAACGCCTCTTCCTCCTGGGAGCCGCTGCCTTGACGGTGCCAGGGCCGCGAGACGGCCCCCTCACAAGCGATGAGACACCGGCCGTCGCGAGCAGCTGTATTTCTTCGCTGCGGCCCAAAGAAATCCTGACCCCTTCCCTGGTGAGTTTTTTTTTCATTCGGCGTTTCGACATTGGGCGGCAAGAGGGGGGGGGGAGGGGGGTTCTGGCTCCAGACCTCTGCTCAGTGCGACTGTTTGCAACAGTGCGGCCTCTTGGGGAGACTCCACCCGCTCGAAACAGGCGCCAAAAAGCAGCCAAGATCTACTCCATGGGGGAGGGTCTGGGGCCCGTGCCGATCAGCAAACCAATGAATAAAAAAACTAGCACTATCATAAGGATGCGCGATAAGGATGCAAAGGCCTTGGAGGGCAGTTTCGGAGCTTTTAGAGCGGGGCGCGGCAAACGAAAGTGGCCAAGGACAGAACGAGGAGGCAAGGATGCAAGGGCCCGCCAAGGGCTCCCTCCCCAGAGGCCAAAGTCGCGAGAAAACGCCGGGATTGAAACAACAATTGCAAAGTCATGTCGTCCAGGTCATCTGGGCCATCTGCAACGCCTGGATTTGAGCCCTGAGATCCGACGGCGCGAAAAATTCAAGCATCGTAACAAAAAACACGGCCGGAACCCTAGCTCCAATCTGTCCGCACTATTTTTTTCGAGGCGGATCGATTTGTGAGAGCCCCGAAACTGGGTGGAAACACCCGGCTCGATAAGATTCAAACGCCAGGATCTCAGGGCAGAGGAAAAAGAGGAGCGAGTCCTAGAGGTCTCGACCCATTCCCCAGGGCCAGTCTCACTGCCAGCTTCAAGGCCCCGGACCTGGGGCCCGAAAGCGGCCATCCAGGGCCGAAATCTCTGGAAAGCGATGGGGTTGCGAAAATCAGGTCGTCGGAGTTCTGGGGCCCGAGACGTGAAGCTCCACGGGCTCGAAGTTATCTGCGCACCTCTGACGTCCTGATTTTTTGAGAAGGAGAAGGCCTCCTCAGAAGGCGTCGGGACCTCTCAGGAGTCCTCGCGCCTTGTGAGAAGTGCTCCCTGTCTTCGTGGAAGGATTGGAGAACTTCTCTGAAGGCTGGGGGGCTCCCGAACCTTCCGGGAAGGCCTTCTCCTTGTCACTTCCCCCCCCCGCGCGCCGCCGACTACCGCACGCCACGACAACGACGACGGCCTGGGCTTAGGTCGGGCGCGGCCCCCTACGAGCGGATTAAAAATACCCAAACAATGCTCAAACATGGTCGGAAAAATACTAAAACAATCGTCCCCAGACTATGTTTTGACTACCTTCGACGAAAAATTAACAAATACCCAAACAATGCTCAAACATGGTCGGACAAGTATGAAAACAATCGTCCCCAGACTGTGCTTTGACTATCTTTGAGTCTTCCTCCTGCGGAGGGACACCCCCGACTGAAAGCCTGGGCGGGGCGGGGGCGGCCAGCAAGCTGGCCCTGCACGGCTTCCCCTGGGGCCGTAGCGACCCGAGGGGGAGGGGGAGGAGGAGGAGGAGGAGGAGGAGGAGGAGGAGGAGGAGGAGGAGGAGGAGGAGGAGGAGGAGGAGGACGGGTCGCCCAAGCCCTTCGGAGCAACGCTCCAGCTGGCCCCGTTCCCCAGGACCGGTGCTCTTCGTCCCGAGGCCTTCCTCCGACGGCCCCGAGAGGGCCTGGCAGAGGCCCCCGCGAGGCCGACAACAGCGCAGGGCCTCCCGTCGTGCTGTTTTCGCTTGCGGACGCCATGGTAATAGACACCCCAACAAGCCTACCATTGAATTGCACATGTGTTTAACATGTTCGAAACATGTTCGAAACATGTTCTCAACATGTTTTCACAGGTGTAAGACCCATTTAAGGCATCTTTTAGACACCTGGAGATGATTCGGCAACACGCTTCCTCTCCATTGACCGTCCTCCACCAGTTTTCGTGGCCCGAGGGGGTCTGGTGCCTGGCATGTCAGCACGTGGAGACCACATCGGGGGTTGCTAAAAGGTGCCCCTGGCCCACTGTGCCCCCAGCTGTTTGCTTCATTTTGGAGCCCCTGGGGCCCTCTGGGCCTCGTGAGGGGTGCTCTGGTGGCCGCGGGGGCCTCCTTGGAAACCTGGGGGGCCCCTCGGGCAAGGGGTACTTCTAACAACGCCTGGGCCATGGAAACGGCAGGGCCGCTTTTCCACCGTTTCCGAAAAAAAATGTCTCTTGAACATGGGCACGGTAAGGCAACGGCAACCGGAGACGGCCCCAAAAACGGCTCCGACATTTGAACCGGAACCAGAACCGGAAACACAACGGCGACGTAACCAGAGAAGAAAAGGCGACGGAACCGGCAACAGAAACGGCAAAGCGGAGTAGATGAAAAAAACTGCCCTATCGTTTCCAGGGCCAGGGCCCACCGACCCCAGAGATCCTATGTCGTGATTTGTTCAATACGGGGTCTCCAGAAGTCTCGACCCATTCCCCACGACGGGTTTTCCATTCTGAGTCGTTTTTTGACGGTCCCAGGGTCCGGCAAGGGCCCCTCGAGGCCGAAAACTGCGAAAAGCCTCCGCCTTGATGTTTGTCAATACGTTGAATCTCTGGGACCACGTACAATCTTGGAAGCCTGGAAATTGGCACCAAAACCAGCACAGGGGGCTGCCTCCACACTGTGAAGATGATCCTAGATTTCGGTATTAGTGACAATCTTTCGATCACCTGGGAAGCCAAAACATTGCCACCATCACCGAGATCGGCATGCCCTTCCCTTGGTGGAGGCACACCGCCGATCTTGGTGTCGGTGTCAACCTCTGGGCCTGCGACTGGGGAGACCAAAAGGTACCGATACCGCTACTCCCTGGACCTCTCCCGGGGTGCGTTCTGACCAGGATTTCGAAGCGAATCCAGCGGTGGCGACGAGGGCCTCCGAGGAGACCCAAAAAGGGGAAAACGGGCGAGGGGGTAGAGGTATGGGCACCTTTTCCCCCTCTGAGCGACAGTCCCGCGCGCCGCCGACCACCATCGAGGCCGCCCCCGCCTGGCCCCAGGCGCGGCGGCGCCCCGCGAGGCGCGCGCCCGCCGCCGCCGCCGCCGCCAGGCCGGCCAGGGCCGGGCCGCCGCGCCGCAGGAGGTGGGGGGGAGCAGTAGGGGGGGGGGCCCAGCGACCCGACGGAGTCGCCAACGGCGTGCACCCAGAGATCCAACGCATTGACAAAATCAAGGCGGAGGCTTTTCGCAACTTTCGGCCTCCATAGGGGCCCTCGCCGGGCCCCGGGACCGTCAAAAAACGACTCAGGATGAAAAACCGGTCCTGGGGAATGGGTCGAGACTTCTGGGGACCCCGTATTGAACAAATCACGACATCGGATCTCGGGGCATGTGTGTATAAATATATACATATACTAAAAACCAAAAGCGCGCTTCGCGCGCGCTCAGGTTCTAGTCACGGCTGCGCCACGTTTTGCTGCTCTCGTTACCGCGTACATGCATACACACATGCATACATACATGCATACACACATACATACCTACATACATACCTACAGACACACAGACAGACATGCATGCACACATACATACATTCGCACACATTCATGCACACATACCTACATATATCTACATACATACATACATACATACATACATACATACATACATACACATGCATGCATGCATGCATGCATGCATGCATACAGACATGCATACACACACATATAGTCACACGAAGGTACCTGATACACACACTCAGGCATCCAGACCCTGTCCTACGGGCCTCGCAGAAACGCCACAGGACAACACACAGCGTAGCATGTGCTGGCCAGCTCTCCGAGCAACAGGTGTATACTACATATGCATACGATACATACACACATGGATTTGTATATGATAACATATAGAGACACACCCATACATATATAATGGTTGTACGTACGTGTGTGTATGTATGTATGTATGTATGTATGTATGTATGTATGTATGTATGTATGTGTGTAAATGTATGTGTGTGGCTGCGTATGCATGTATGCAGGAATGCATGCATGTATGTATATACGTATGTATGGATGTGTGTATGTGTATATGTGTAGGATTGCATGCATGTATGCATGCATGTATGTATGTGTACGTATACATGTTTGTAGGTGTGGACACAATTTCGTGTGCATGTTTGTATGGATTCGTGTATGTATACGTGTATGCCTGCTTGTATGTCTGTATGTAGTTATGTACGTATGCATGCATGTCTGTATGTACATGTGTATGCACACATGCACGTATGTATGCATGGGTGGATGCATGTATGTATGTATGCATGTATGTATGTATGTATGTATGTATGTATGTGCGTATGGCAGTATATATATGGTTGCATGTATGTGTGGATACAGATTTGTTTTGATTAGTTGTTGCTGGATGTATGGACGTTTGTTGTGTGATGCGTGCATGCACGTATAGATGTGTATGTGTGCATGCTGGTATGCCTGTATGTATGTGTGTCTGTATGTGTTGTATGCATGCATGCATGCATGCATGCATGCATGCATGTGTGTGGGTAGGTCGGTAGGTAGGCTGGTAGGTAGGTATGCATACTGTATTTGGGACGCTTGCTGCCACTAAGTGGTGGACAAGCATAACATAGTATAGCGGACGTGCTCCTGGCCTAGAGTATTGAAAAGCAAGACGGCGGTGTATTCGGCCTCTATAGAGGCCCACGCCGGGCCCCGGGACCATCAACAAAAACGACTCTGGATGCAAAGCTGATCCTTGGACTTGTGTCGAGACTTCCAGGGACCCTGCACTCACAAACTCAAGATATCAGATCTTCGGCGAACGGCGCAGGGAGGGGGGGGAACCGAGCGCAGCTTCGAGACCTGAGGCTTTCGAGCGCGCTCGTCGGCCCTCCAACCCCGGGAACGGAGCCG